TGCGTTCGGATTTTCTTTAAATTAGACATCTGTCAGACGCAAGGAGCTTACAACGAAACCGACGTCAGAGTTGCCTGTTTCTCGGCACCGACGTTGCTGCTTGCTTGCTTACCGCCGTGGCTGCTGCTGTTGCTTCTGATGCTCGCGGCAAAACTGTATTATAGCCTTTCCTGTCGTATTCTGTCGTACGACGTCCTCCTTTGCCGACCTCCGTATACCTTCCACGATACCTTGCGATAAATACTCGCGCCGCTCTTTTTACACGTTACTGCCTAATTAGCGTAATTATAAGATCCGGTCGTGGACCTTCTTCCCTCTCTTATTCCTTCCTTTCTTCTTTTCTTCTTCTCCCTTCCTGTTTTTCTTCAGATGGTCCAGTCAAAAAAGTGAGAGCAGTAGAGAGAGAAAGAGAGAGAGAGAGAGAGAGAGAGAGAGAAATTGTACGCTTCCGAAAGAGAGTCCAAAAATCTTTTGATTTATGTAACTATTATGTGAAGCTAAAAAAAGATAAATTTTTATTTTTAGTTATTGGTATAAGAATAATATTCTATTTATTTAATGTTTCTTACGATGTAAATGGAACGAAACGCCTTTTCCCCAAACGGGATAAATTCTTAGGTTATAAGAAACTAAGTAGCTATCATATTTTTAAGTTATATAAGGTTATTTTTGTATTTAAACAAGAATCGGAATTTGGCCATAAATGAGATAAATTGCATTATTATAATGATTTGATGTGTCGAAAAATGTAAATAATGAAATAAATAATTTTCTTAACGCGTCAATCCTTAATTATTGTGTCGCGTAAGAGAAAAATTCCCGCGTGTATTTCAGTGTCGCCTAACATTTTAATTCACGCGTATTTCCTCTGGCACGTTGAGTGTCAAGTGATGCGATGATAATGGCCTTGCTGCGATGCATTTTGCGATATTTTTGTAACGGCAGCGAACAATGGTAGAAAATTTGAATCGACCATCCGACATTGCTCTATGAGAACGATGATGGAAAATGAAAATCAATACCGATAAGTAGTCGCTACAGAGTGCACGCGTTATTTGTTGCCAATTACCGCGCTGATAATTTTGTAAAAGCTGTAAATATCATGAAAGACACCGCAATCACTAGAAGGCGATCATATCAAGATTGTTATCTTTGACGTTTGAGAGACAAAACTACGGTCGGGTTGAAGAGTCATTCGATAACGAGACTCGAGATAACACGGCTCGGTAGCAGTGAAAACCTAGGATAAGTGTTATTTACATTGTTCGCTTTAGATCACTTTTTAATGAACAGTTTAAAATAATACAAAAATGACTTAAGTAATATTATTTACAAAATATGACACTAAATGCTACAGATTTTTAAGCAATGAAAATATCCTAACCTAGATAGTGCACATAATAGTTACCTAATACAGCATCCAAAGTTCCCTAGAAATGAAATTTCTCTGTTATTTCGCACCCTACGTGGGAGCACTTCAATAAAATATATCCCACTTTCCTTTATCTCACTCTATTCTTTTATTATTGGTAACTCCCAACGGATTAACACTATATAGCAGAATTTATATTCTCGGATCGAACGGCAGTTCAATACATCGATGACCGTATCGAAGAATATATGACGTTTCCTAGTTCCCGCCGCGAGAGGGCAATTTTCTTTAATAGTGCAACAGCATCTTACCGGCGTGCCATATACACGCGCTATTCGCACGTAACATTACATAATAACGCAAACGAAACGGATGCCAGGCCGGACGACGCTTTCGAATGGGAAAGACCATGCAAAAGTCGGCGTGTCGCGTTTGCAAAGAGCAATCGTGCCCTCTCTCTCCAGACGATAGGAAGACAGTTCACTGAAAACAGTTTATTATTAATAGATATGCCTTGGTTTCCCGAGCGAGTTGTCGGCTTTATTTCGAGGTTAGTCTGTACTGAGTTTTTGAACCGTACGTTTTATTCTCCTTGCTGCGTGGCCCTCCCTCCCTCCCTGTACCCCTCCCCCTAGCCCCGGCCCGACCATTCCTTCCTCAGCCCCTGCTGAGCGGTTGTCGTTTTCCTTTTGCCTCCTCCCCTCTACTCTTCTCTTAAAAACGAGACTCGCCACCGACTTTCCGACAAAGGAATAAAGAAAAGAAACAACTAGCCACGCTACGCGGTTGAGGATGGCACGGCAAACCGTAGCACAGCGCAGCACAGCACGGCATAGCGTGGCATGGTGGGTAGAGACTTTCCGTACAGGGAGAGCAAGGGGGTACTTGCCAAGCCAATGGCGCAGATACTTGGGGAGCACGTTTTCAGTTTCTTGATTTATTTTACTTTTACACTTCTAATTGCGTGGAATCTCATCTTGCAAATAAATATCATTTATTTTTGCTCCATGTAGCTATCTCTGTTTCAATTAACAACGTACGAAGCTTCATCGATAACGTGTAATTAATGACAGAAGAATTTTAATATTTCACATTGTTTGTTATCGTTTTGTTTTAATTTACAAACGAAATTCAATTATAGCGTATATTGATTAATATGTCTTTTGCAGGTTGATGAACCGCTGGAAATGAACGTTACTTGATACGTAAAAAAATTGAATAATAGCTTTGATGAAAAATTACGCTAACGAGAAGCAAGAAATACTGCCACTGGGTTTTGTGTATACATGACAAAGTGCTTTTCGGTAAAGTTCATTCATTACATTGTCAAAGGCGACGCCTATGTTTCTTCTGAAACACCGCTAGGAGATAATAGCGTGCGGGTACAGTCTCCAAAAAGAGTATTTCTCATTTATCCCACTACACTACTACATTTATGTGCTTTAACCTTGAATAATTGAAAAACAAATAATAAAATGTTTAGGAAGCGTAACATTTACTTCTATTTTTTAGAAATACGTTGAACTCTGAGAACAGTACACGCAAACATAGCGTGCTAGATCATTTTCCTAAGTGCAGATATGCTGTACATTAAAATTCAGGAAGTTATCAGAAATCATGGAAGGTAACGTAAAATTGTTTCATTTGTAATTTTATTTATCTCGTTTTTATTTTTATTCCAATTATCATTAATCTTTCAGGTTATGTTATGGAACCCAACGTTTTTACGAAATTATCAACAGAAGCGACGGTATATTTAAAAAGTGCCTCGATAAATATTCCACCACAAAGTAGCGTCGAAATATTAAGAATAATTATCATTATCTCTGGTGGACGGAAGATTAAGGCGCGGACCAAGTAAAAAACAAAGATGACCCTAAACCATTATTCATTGGCTGGAGTTTGCCGCGACGGAAGGTACAGTAGTCGGTCGTGCGTCATTCCGACGAATTACGGGATTCCTGCGATGACTGCGACGATGCGACGATTTCGCCCGTAGGAACGATTCGGCGTCGGATCCTTTCAGACAGGAACTCTGTTTTTCCGAATCCTTTAAAAGCGACTTTCTCTGGAAGGGAATCGGGGCAACGTCCGCGCACGATCACCGACGCAAAAATCCGGTGGAGGTTTGTTTGTGGCCGCGATAATCGAAATCCTTAGGAGGCCCCCGATTCCCTTTTTACGCATGCCGTTCGACGTCGCGGCGTCGACATTTAGTGTCGTCGTAGACCACGTTGAACCATCATCGGCTTCCTTCAAAACCCCACCAACCGTGCGAAGCTATCCTTCTTCGCCGCTCTCATAGACCTTCGCTGGACAAAAAGGAAAGAGAGAAGAGCAGGAGAAAAGGAAAGTATACGCGTGGTTAGTACGACAAAACGAGTACGAAGGTAAAAGAGAGAAAAGAGGAAAGGAGACAGAGGGAGAGGAAGATGGCGATAGAGGAGGAAGACGGAGAGAACATAGAAAATAGGATAGGAAACATAGAAAAGGAAGAACACGAGAAAGAGAGAGAAAGGGCGAGAGAGGGTGACGGGGAATGACGGGAAGAAGTAGGGAATAGAGTAAGAGAGACAGCCGGTGTAGTTAGAAGGAGAAGAGAAAGAAAAGGAGACGGATTGGAAGGAAGAAAGGAGAGAAGCTGACGAAAAAGTGGGAAAGGGAGGGAGGTGAAAGAGAGACGGACAGAAAGAGCGTGAATCGGAGGTTTCGAGCCGCGCCTCCTACCTTCAGGGCCCATGTATCCACGGCTCGGCACTGTTGACGACGCAGCGCCCTATGGAGGGGGAAAGGGAATTACGGGGAACGTGGTTTAGGCAAGAACGATCGTCCGTAGTCGTAGTCGGGCCACGAGTCGAGCGATGTCGTGTGACCGACCCCTCTCGTCGCGACCGCGTTTCTTTCTCTTCCGACGCTTTTACCTGGATTAAATTCGACACCGAGTGTTGTTCGTTTCACAGCCACACGGCTGTGCATGTAACTAAGTCAGTGACAGGAGAACGAGCATGCAAACACGAACGTTTCGCCTTTGCGTCGAAAGCACGATAAACGAAAGATAGAAAAACAAGAAGCATTTGGGCGCTGACTGGGTCGTCGTTCCCAGTTTCAAACACTGCTGTACAACCCTCGAAAACACGTGTCGTTCGTTCGGTGCCTGTCGTACACGTCGATCGCAGTGTGATCAGCCGACGTTGGACGAGCTTTATCAGGGGAATATGAAGTTCGCGGAAGTGTGTTTGTTTTTCAGTTCGTAGCAGTGCTACGGTGAACCGTGCACGGGAAATCGGGCACGACGAGAGAACGACGAATGATTGTCAGGTGAAAACCGTGCTTTTTCATCGGATGCGACGGAATTCTCGCTAGTGTGACATACGGCTGCTGTTGCGACGCGAAGGAACAGGAAGAATTTAATACGGTGACGAGTTTGGAAACAAAAATAAAAACAAAGTGGCGGAACAAGAAGCCTGGAAGGAAAGTGTGCGCAGCGTTTGTGGATGCATGAGGGTCTCATGGCTACCGGATTCGTAAAGTGGTGGCGGGCAAGGTTCCTCGCTGGCTATAGACCCTTTTCTGGTAAGCTTCTATAATCTTTCTCTCTTTCTCTCTGTCTCCTCTATTCGCCTATCTCTATATTCCACTCTCTGGTTTTCTTCCTTTGTATTTTTTGTCATATGCACACGCGAGGTATCGATGTTCGTCGAAATCGCGATGCATGGATAGATCGAGATATACCGTATACGGATTTGTCCGGTCGGTCCGGTTATAGGCGTGATATTTTGCCCGACTTGCGGGCGCGCGATGCGTGTTCCTCGATGATGCTACTGCAGTATGACAGAAGTGGATCCCACGTGGTGTTACGTCATACTTGCATTTTTCTTACCCGTTCGTCTATAACCATGCTTCATTGAAAATTTGTATCTCCCTTAACCGTTCTTTCCTTCGTTCTCGTTTCTCCACCCATTCGTTTTTAATATTATAGTTTTTAATTTTTTCTCCGCCAATGAAATGGTAAATATTTCTGTTATTTTTTGGTTAGCCACCGTTATCGATTCGGACCGAATTATCGTTGACGTTACTATAGATTTTACGCGAAAGAAACGTTACTGTCCCATTTCTAATATTTATGCTACTCCACGCGTAATTTATAGATCAATTTTTCGTACCTCGAAACGAAATTCGAACAAATTGCGTATCGTGTTAACGTATAGTTATTCGTTTATAAATCGCGATAATAATAAATACGCGTGGTCGTTAATGTGTCTTTGTTGATAAATTTTTAGTTTGCGAAAGGCAAGCATGATTTACATAGCGTTTGTCATAGAATCACGTTTATCGTTTCGAATTTTATGAAATGTTTTAACGCGAAGATAAATGTTTTATTAATTTATATCGAGAGCGGTAATTTATTACCAAATAACTACTTTATCGTTACACGGTAACAATCTTCCGATAAATTAAAAAACATTCAATATCGTTGCTTTATAAAATTTAAGTAACATGGAAATTATTCGTTAAGCATTCTTTAATAATCAAATTTAAAAAAAAATGGCGATAAAATTCAGAAACACTAGGACTCGTATGATAATTTTACGATAATTCGGAAAGAATTTCAACGAAGAAGGTATAACAGTTTCTCGGTTATGCAAAGAAAATATTTCAATCGTGAAAACAAACATTCGAATAATTTATGCCGAGAGTGGTACTTTATCGGTAAATAACTATATCGTTAGACATCGTTAACCTATCGTTAGCCTATAATTTTTGATACTTGTAAACCTACCTCAGTGAAACAAACATAGCTCTCCGAAGACTAACATCTAGTTATAAGAGGGAGGGTAAAAATAAAACGTATTTCCTAGTTAGCCGTGCTCCAGAATTCGAAAAATTTTAATCGATGGAAACCCTCGCTCGTATTCTTACAAATGCATCGTTCAAAATTAGTATTTTGACGATTTTAAGATGGCTGACATTTTTTCAACTTCAACACATGTTATTTACTATTTAATTATATTAACAACATATGGTTGATATATTATTTTTCTAAAAATGAAATAGAAAAAGTGACGAAATCAGTCGAACGCAGAGTTTTTAATCAAAAATTAAGAAAATGATCATTTAGTCTAATTCTATATCTTCTTCTCAATCTCTTTAAAGTAGCGCCATATTTAAAAATTCGTTGGGTCTTTGCGGTCCGCCATAGTTAAGAAGAAAATTTTATCTACTCGAAATGACAACACCCTTTAATTACGTAATATCGGTAGAGGTAACGCTCAGTAGGTAACTAACACCGATTTTTACCGATAGATACAGATCTCTTCTCTATTTGATTCAAAAATTTCCAAGATATTTTTAAGTACAGTCCAAGGAAAGATAAATTTGCACTAGAATAGGATACCAAAGAGGAAAGTAACCACAGATAAATAAATAAAAATCGATACTCAAGTTCAACGTAGCACGAAAATTATAATGATACTTATTTCGGTTTCCGTTAATATTATACATCGGTTCCAATATCACACCGATGCTAATCGATTTCGATATAGTCCGTTTGCCATAATAACGGTATCAAAATGATACCGATATTACCCCTTTGGCAGTGACCCTCGAACGAAACTCACCCATAACACGAACTTACTATCGGGTAGTCGTAATTATAAATATTTTATCCTACTTATTATCACATTGGAAACCATTTCGGAACTTAAAAGGGGCGGACCCGTTTTCCGGCGGAAAATTTTCGAATGTTAAAAGGGGCGGACCCATTTTCCCGCGGAAAATTTTCGAATGTTAAAAGGGGCGGACCCATTTTCCCGCGGAAAATTTTCGAATGTTAAAAGGGGCGGACCCGTTTTCCCGCGGAAAATTTTCGAATCGATTCTACCGCGAAACGGGGCCGGGCCTGACAGGGGTAACCAGTCGAAAATCGTACGTACAATGATCCTCGTCTATCGGCGGACGCCGCTTTTGAACCTCGCCCTTCACGATCTCCGGCTCTCTTACGCTCCTCTTTATGGCTGTTTTCTCGTGCGTGGCGGGGCAAATTTTCATACGAGCCCGGCGGTAGGGATAGGGAAAGCTGTTGCGTCGGCAAATGATAAAAGTTACGAGCCGAGCAAACAGAAGGGGGTGATTTACAAAGAAGAAAGCAGAAGCCGTTTGTCCCGCTCCCCCGTTGCTTTTCATTCAAGAGGGCGCAAAAGCGGTACGGTACACACGGGTATAAACACACGCGTGTGCTTGCGCGCTCGCGAACGCAGCGCGCGGAACGAGGGTCGCGCGTCAAGGGTGGAGTTTAATTATCGGGACCTTGCGAGTTCGTTACATACATTAGTCCAGTGGTTAGATAAAAGGCGTCCAAGGCTATTCTCTATTCCTTTGGTATCAAGGCAAGGATTCTCTTTCTCTTCTCTTTCCCCGGGTTTCTCTTTCTCTTACCCCCACCATGCGCCCCGCTATTCTCCGTCTCCCTTCCACTCCGTTCTTCCGCCGTTTCTTCCTACTCTCTCTGTCGCGCCCGCGCTATATCCGTCTCGCTTCCTCTCCCGTTCTTTGTCTCCCTTTTTTCTCCCCCGGTGCGCTCAGTGTCTTGGGTCTTTAACGCTCGCCCCACGAAAGAGTTACGGGCGTAATTACCACACGGCAGGTATCATTATACGCGTATATGCGTCCGTTTCTTTATGCAGATACGATTATCCGGCTTTTTCTTCTTTTTTCTCTTTTCCTCTCTTTTTTTTCTTTTT